TAGGCAGGCATGCCATGAACGTAACATCAAAAGAACCACAATGGGTTGGCCCATCTGCTCCAACCAAGCCAGCCCTGTCCATTGCAAATCTCACAGGCAACTTTTGCAAATCAACATCATGAACTACCTGCAATTCAAACACGACATTTCGTTTCAACGAAAACAAATTTGTTTCGACTTAGTTAAGGGTCGACAAGAAGCAAAAGCTTGCCTGGTCGTATGCCCTTTGCATAAACGACGAGTAGATCGCACAGAATGGTTTTAGGCCTTCACAGGCTAGACCAGCAGCAAATGTAACAGCATGCTGTTCAGCTATACCAACGTCAAAGCATCTCGTCGGGAAACGTCTTTGGAAGAGATTTAAGCCTGTGCCTCCTCCCATTGCAGCATGGATTGCAATAATATCGTTATCCACTTCCGCTTCTGCAATCAATGCCTCCGCGAAGTATGTCGTATACGACTGCGTTGCAGCCTTCGTTTTCTGCTGTTTTCCAGTTGCAGGATCAAACTTTGTGACTCCTGCATAAACAAGCCACAATTGTAGGTTGTAACTCAATTTCCGAAACAATGATCATTTTTCGACCTGAATCTTTAATTTACCGTGGTACTTGTCAGCAGCTTTTTCGGCATATGGATAGCCTCGTCCTTTCTCAGTGATGACATGGATGAGGACTGGACCTGTAGTTTTCGTACTCTTAACTTCCTCGAGAATGGAAACAAGATCATCCATGTTATGACCATCGACAGGGCCGATATAATAGAGCCCGAGCTCCTCAAATAATGTGGATCCAGAACCACTGATCATCCCACGAGCATATTCATCAACTTTTGCAGCCAATTCATGCATAGGACCACCAATTTGTTTCGTGACACCCTGAAACATCATTGGTATAAGGATAATTAACCCCGAGATCGTTCAGATTGAAGGATCAAGGCGTGACAGTTAGATTTGGTTTGTTATTTCTTACCTTGGCTACCTCTCTCAGTTCTCTGAGTGGCCTGTTTGACTGCAGCCTGCTGAGAGCACTGCTCAAAGCTCCCACGGGTGGTACGGGCCCATCGAGCGTTGCAGTTGGTAAAGAGACCTGTTTGTTGTCGTTAAGAATAACAATCATGTCCGAGTCGAGGTACCCCGCATTGTTCATGGCTTCATAAGCTTGCCCTGCAGTCATGGCACCATCACCTATGACTGCAACCACATTGTTCTTTCTTCCCTTAAGATCCCTTCCCACAGCCATTCCTATTGAGGTACAACATAAGAAATGCTGTGAAATATCTCACTGAAGTAAATCACAAATATTTTGAAAACTTAAGCACAACCCCAAAATATCAATAGGATAGGAAAATCTAAAACAGTATCTCATTATGTTCTGAATATACACTCTCACAAAACCATCTTATCTTTCTTCAGCTCTCAGTTGGAGTTTAAAAGCAATCACCTAAGCCTGCTGAGATGGTGGTAGAGCTGTGACCCGTGCCGAAGCAATCGTATTCGCTCTCCGAGCGTTTTGTGAATCCCGACAACCCGTTTGTCTGTCTAATAGTAGACATCTTATCCCTCCTTCCAGTTAGAATTTTGTGCGGATAAGACTGCAATCACCAACTCAAACTAATATTAAAACAAAATGGTCAATCCATATGTAACCGCCCAAGCCCACCGCTTACAAATATAGTCCGCTTTTGCCCATTATGTATCATTTTCAGCCAGATGTATTTTAAAACCGTAAGGCTGACGGCGATACGTAACGGGCAAAGTGGACAATATTTGTTAGTGGTGGGCTTGGGCTATCACACCATATCTCTCACCGGGAAGGCAAGAAGAACGGCACCTGATGGCCAACGTCCCATAGAATCCTGTCCTGTGGGGTATTGAAGACATAGTGAAGAGCCACCGTGAGCTCCACCACGCCAAGACTGGAACCCAAGTGACCACCAGTTTTCGACACGTTGAAGATGACATCAGATCTTACTTCATCAGCTAGTTGACAAAGCTCCTGAGTCAACGATACCACAAGAAGCAATCAAACATTTCAAATAGTGTTAAAACGGGTTTAAGAGTTCAAAAAATTAGTATTCATAAGCTAGTTGACAAAGCTCCCGAGTCAACGATACCACAAGAAGCAATCAAACATTTCAAATAGTGTTAAAACGGGTTTAAGAGTTCAAAAAATTAGTATTCATAAGCTAGTTGACAAAGCTCCCGAGTCAACGATACCCCAAGAACAAGACCAAACATTTCCAAGAGTGTAGCTTTTGAAATTCCGTTTCTACTCTAATATCATATTAAACTATCACAAAATTTAAACGTTTCGAAGGATATATTAATATATACCTTAATGGATAGATTTTTCATATGAATTGGATAGTTTATTGTGTCCAAAAGAGGAGTTGGTGGACTTTGTGAAGGAAACTCCCCTGTCTCTGAAAGCGATGCACAGATCCCGCCGGGCCTCTTCTTGACCTACCTCAAAGAAAAGCAAACAGCTACACATCTTTCAAAACTTAATTATTCAAAAGGTGAAAAAAAAATCCATAATTCCAATTTTCAGTTGCAAAAAAGCTAGAAAAGATTCTTTTCTTCTCACTTGGGCATTTCATCAAACACTTAGTGGGCATATTTTTTTCATCGGTTTTAAATCCTTACCTGATTGACCCTCTTCTTAAATCGAAAGTCTAGATCCATTCCCCATAAGAATCGAGAAGAAACAGCACTCAAACCTTCATGTTCTTCGACTGCAACTCGGCTGATAGAAGCAGGAAAAGTTAGCGTACAGGGCGCCATTGGAGCTCAGCAACCACCAAAAATGGAGAATCAAACAACTTCAATCGCTACAATCAAATCTCAGCTGAAGAAATCCAGAAAAAAAAAAAAGAGACACGGTGCATCCAATTTCTACGTGTCATTTAAGGAGAGACACGGGGTAGAAAAATGAACGAACTTTTTTCTTGCCACTAAGGGAAGGGAAGTGGCGGTGAATGAAGTGGAAGAATTAATTAAACGAGAAAAGATGAGAAAACCCAATGAAGAGGTGAAGCGTGTGCGGAATTGGTGTTGATAAAACATAGAATCGAAGATGGATGGGCGGGCAGCTTTTGAGGTCTTTTTGTTCTTTTCTTTATTGGTCCACGTTGACTGAAATCCCAAAATAGATACGTGGATAAACTGATTTTTTTTTTAATTTTTTAATCATAAACTTTCTTAAAATCGACAGTTATTTAGGTAATATTTTTAATTAAAAATTAGGAATGAAAATAAGTGAGAATTTGGTGACCGTTACCATCAATCTTTTTGAGCTGCCCTACAAGGAAAATGTTCTCATTGTGTCAAGCTACGACTTAAACCGAAAATGGCGTTAAGTTGAGTTAGATATTGCATATTTCTCCAGTTAAATGAGTTCGTTCCATTTATAATGTCTCTCACTATCCTATTATTATCACAAATGATAACAACTTAAGCTCACCGTTAACAGATATTATCCGTTTTGGCTTGTTATACATTACTGTCAATTAATGGTGGGATCTCATAATTCATCATCCTTGGAGTCCAGCGTCCTCGCTGGCACACCGCTCGATATCTGGCTCCGATACCATTTGTCGCAGCACAAGCCCACCGCTAATAAATATTGTCTACTTATGCTTGTTACATTATCGTCGTCAACCTCAATGTATTAACTTTTGCTCAATACCATTTCGAAATCTTTGACACGTATTAACTTTCGCAAATAAAAGACTCAAAGTGGCTCTAGCCCAATAAGGTGGTATGTGGCTAGCTAACCACATAGTTTGGAATGCGTTACCTACTTTCCTTTTTTTCTTTTTCAAGCATAATTGTCGGTGATTGTTGTGTATGTTTTAAAAATGTGTCTACTAGAAAGAGGTTTCTACACCATTATAAATACTGTTTTGTTCTCCTGTTTAATTGATGTGGGATCTTACAATCCACCCTCTTTTGGGACCAGCGTTCTCGTTGGCATATGACTAGGTGCTTAGTTTTAATACCATTTGTATCCGCCCAAACCCATTTATATTGCAGAGTTAAACATGGTTTCTTCTTTCTCAAATTTTAGTTTGAAGTTTGTCGTTCACAACTAAAAACTTTTCGATTTTGTTACAAATTCTCTTTCCCTCCACATTCCGATGTCAAGTACGTTGAATCTTGTTCCATCAACACATAGACTCTCAATATTGGCTAAATTAATAAAAAGAATCATGAATTTTATACTTCATTTCAAAAAAAGTACCAATAATAACTTTAGATAAAAAAAACTAAAAAATACACTTGTAAAAAAAAAAAATTAAAACGTATCATTTAATATTTTATTTAAAAAATACTTTTAAATTTTTAAAAGAGTTTTAAAAAATATCATTTTTAAAAACTTCACAAACATTTTAAATTTTTTACAAAATATATACCCATAAGCTTTAAAAACTTAAAAATACTAATATTTTAAAAAATTTTAAAAAATTAAAAAGTCCAGAAATATCATTTAATATTTTATTTAAAAAATACTTTTAAATTTTTAAAAGAGTTTTAAAAAATATCATTTTTAAAAACTTCACAAACATTTTAAATTTTTAAAAAAATATATACCCATAAGCTTTAAAAACTTAAAAATACTAATATTTTAAAAAAATTTAAAAAATTAAAAAGTCCAGAAATAATATATGAAGGGTAGATATACAATTTCATCTATATATTCACGATTAAGTATTTTTTTAAATTTTATTTAAAAAATTAGATATTTTTTAAACATAGTATTAACCCTACGAATATTAAAAAAATAATAATAATAAAATGTATTAATTTTAAAATTTTAAGGTATTTTTTAATAAACCCTATTTATATTTTACATACTAATTTTAATACAATTGAAAATCAATCCAAGCCGCTTAAACAATTTTGTAATTTAACCGATTTGAAAGACATAAATACCCCCGTGATCAGAATAATAATACAACTTTGTCTAACCCTATCACTCTGCTTTCTCCTCACTCGGTCTGGTCTGCATTTCTCTCAGATTCTAACTTTAGTTCACGAAACTCGAACCCAGTGGATTGAAAGGTTTGAAAAATTCCATTTCTGAAACGAAATTTCGTTCTGTTAGTTGGATTTCTTTTTGTAACGAGAGCCAGTTCCTTTGGTTGGTAAGGAGAAGATGAATAAGGATTGGGACTTATTTCTGCCATGATTTATCAGCAGCTTTTTTTTTTTTTTTTTCTGCAACGATACCATGCTAAATTATCTTTTTTCTGCTGTTTTTTCTTGGTGAAATCAGGAATTGATCGAATTAGAGATGGCGAGCGCAGTCGATGCTGCTGGAGATCCGATTCCTACATCAGCGGTGTTAATGTCCTCGTCAAAGCACATTGCGAACATGTGTCGATCGGAGAATGTGGCATACCTCCAGTGCAAAAGGAAGGATCCGAACCCGGAGAAATGCCTCGAAAAAGGCCAACAAGTTACTCGCTGCGTCCTCTCCCTGTAAGTGAATCACCTCTTCGTTGTTTTCATAGCCGAAGTTCGAATTCGCCACTTTTCATCGGCTTTGGTTTATATTTTCCGGAAATTTGCTTTAGTTATCACATGATCGTCTTCTAATCTGCAAGCAAATACATGATTAGGTAATACACTGCTTTAGCAATCATATGGTCGTTATCTGATCCGCTAGAGTAGAAAACTAGGAGGAGTAAGGGTTGTTTCTTAGACTTGATATAAAAATTATTAATGCCGGTGCTGATAAGATTTTACGTTGATAATCTTTTATCTGACTAAATTTATGGTGAGCATGGTAGTCATTATGCGAAATCACCCGTTCATAATTAAGCACCTTTAGCTTAGGTGCACGGTGGAAATATTGGATTGTGGAGGTCTTCCAGATTTTGAAGGGTTGCAAGCATTCATGATTTAGATCTCTTTAGTGGCATTGAAGGGGTAGTCTCACAGTTCATGGTTCAGCATTTTTAATCTTTGGATGAGGAATTCAATGAATTCAACTTTCGGTTGGTTGAGCTGGAATTTGCTAGGTTATGCTAATTTGCAGTTTCAAGAGGCTGGATAGTTGATTTTTCAAGTTTTTTTTTTTAAGTCAAACCTCTATCTAGAAAGCCTATATGGCTAAGGCTTGTTATCATTAATTATTACAATTTTTTTTTTGTTGTACATTGGGTTTTTACAAATGACACGAAGAGTAGTTTTCTTCACCTTTTACTTGGTCCCCTATATTCTCCAAGATTACGTTTGTTATGGGTTAATAACGTCAAAGCTATCGTTTCTGAGTTTTGGTTGGACTGCTTTCAAAGGATTTTTTGAATAAGCAACAATGTTGGTTTGAGCGGCTTGAGTTTCCCAGATTGAAAGCTTCACAGTGCTGTTCTCTGTCTAAATTTGTTGGTCATTTCTCTTTTTTGAATACTTGCTTGAATAGGGACGGTTTCATATTTTCGTATAGTTTGTTACTTTTCTCTTTTCTTTTTCTTCTCTCCCTTTGAAGGTTTGTATTATCAGACATTTGTTACTTCTCATTTTATCGATAAAAAATTTCCCATCTTGTTTGAAAAAAAAAAATTGAGAATACAAGTGAATGATACGAGAAATATCATTGATGAAATGAGCAATTTTCATTTCACAATATTTAGAGATAATAGCTTTGTTTAGTAAACATTAGTACTTGTTAAATAATCAACCGAGAGGCTGCTTCTGTTTGCAGGCTTAAAGATCTTCATCAAAGGTGCACAAAAGAGATGGATGCTTATGTCGGTTGCATGTACTACAATACAAATGAGTTTGACTTATGTCGCAAAGAGCAGGAAGCATTCGAGAAAGCATGTCCCTTGGAATGATTTTCCCCATATATGTAAACTTATTACAATAAATTTTTCTTGTTTGCAATGAGCATGTACTGTTGTTGCGTACCTTCTCTGAGTTAAACTTTTTTCTTCATAACAATGAAATATTTTGTGTATGTCTCGGGTTGCAAACCCGATACATTGTTGCAAACAGAATCGACCAATCTTTGCCAGCCCCTTTTGGACAATTGTCGTTAGCAATCATCTCTATTGCTTCTTAAAATTTCCCTGTTCAATATATCTAGTGATTTTTTTCATTCCAATTCTTAATGTGAATTGGAAAATTGATACCAAATCCATGTTCAATTTGTGTATGTCAACTCATAAAGATTGATTGATGTAGATAACTTGCATATCACTCCATTCATGAAGGTTCAACTAACAAATGTATTTGATGTCTGGGATATCATTTGATTTAATACTTCTTTGTGGCTGCTGTTTCTCGGATTTTTGTACTAATCAGGTTAGTTTAATTATTTTGGATTGATTTCTTTTCTTTGAGGGGTCTCCTATTGTTGTGTCGTTTTTTCTTTTGTACATGTATATTCTTTCATGTGCCTCGACACATTTGATTTCTCATTAAAAAAACAATTGGAGCAATGGTAGGTTCTGTTACAAGCGGTTTGCTTGCAGACTTCATCAGTCAAAAAGGGGTAAGTTGGTTAAATTTTATAGGTTTGATTGAGTTTTTTTTGCCATCGTTGACTATTTACTGATCATCTTGGAGATATGTACAGGCTATGAGAGTTTTGGTGCTCATTGCCTTACGGGTTGGCTAGCAGTTTATTTGTCAGCGATCGGAGCTATATGCATTTATTGAACACATGATCCTTCACTAAAAAGAAGCAATAACTCATCTTACTGACATTGCTTGTATGGTTTTGTTGTGATTCTCCCGCAGGAAGCTTTTTCACTGGACTTTGGACTTTGGAAGGGTGCTCACTGGTTATGGGATTGGAGTTTTCTCCCATGTGGTGAAGTTTGCTACAAATATTTCTAATCATTCTAGCAATGCCTGCATTGCTTTCCTCTTTTCTCTTATATGAATTCTTTCATGTTAAAATTGTCAAAACTTGTTGTTGATTGATTCCTATATTCATAGAGGAAATAGCACCAAAATCTACGAGGAGGCCCAACACACTCGAGCAGGTGTAGAGGATGAAAAACATAGACCCCCTTAGAAAAACAAAGAAATTTTTAGTTAACGAGTTTAAACAAGATGGTTATCTAATAACAAGTTACTAATTTTCTTTAGCATCCCTCCTCATTTGCCGTGCAGCTTATGATTGTTACAAGTTACAAGGTCGTTGTCGTTGCTTTCTTATTAGGAACAGTGGTAACATGGAGAACTCTTTGCTTTAACTGGCAAATTCTCTCTGTTTTAGATACATATTAGTTTGTTCAGATCAGTTGAGATGGTGTTATAATGTAATGTAAAGAAAAATATTGGATAGAATTATCAATATAAGGCTAATATACTATTTTACTGAACCATTGATCTGTAGGAATCATTCCATGTGTTTTTCTGATTGTTGGTCTGTTGTTTTGTTCTGGAGTCGTCTCCTCGATGGCTCGTAGTGCAGCATTCCTTTAATCCAAACTTTTTTCACTTTGTGTTTCCTGACCGAAAAACGGAATAGAAGAAACGAATTCGAAACTAAGGTTCTTGTTTTCAGGCAAACGTTGGCAATGAGAAGGACTTTCAAGTTGCATTACAGCTACTTTGTGGAAAGGATGCTGATATCTCTGATGAGGCTGCTGAAATCAAAGTATTTTTCTCATTATTTTCATTGAGAATTTGGTGAGTTCTTGATTTTTCCAAAAAGAATGAACCCTTTAATTTACCAACCAGACTACAATGAAAGTCTACAAAGTCTCCCAAAAGCCAGACTCCTGGACTTGTTTGTCCTGCTATTGTAAGCTCCTTCCTTCATCTGTATTGTAAAACTTTCTTCTTCTTGAGTTTCATTTCCAAGCATAGCTCTGATGATAGTTATTAGATCGGTGTCGGACTGATGGTATTGCAACAATTTGGAGGCATCAACCGGATCGGTTCGGTTTCTATCAAGCGAAATCTTTGCATTACTAGTATAGTTTTGAAGTCTTAGCTTATATACTCCTTTTCTCTTGCTTCTCAAAGTAATCATTAATTCTTGTGGTATGAAATGCAGGCCCCTCGTCGAGCAAAGCTGGCACCATTTCTTATGCTTGTCTTCAGGGCATAAGCCGCTTATAACGGTAAATATCTCTTTCATCTTTCACTTTGAAATCCAAACTTATATGCGAGGGAAAGAATAGCAAATTTTGATGTCCTTCCTTCTTCCTCAAAGCAAGCTCTCAATCCATCATCATTAGGAAACTCTGTCGTTTCATCTCGTTCTCGACATCGTCCCTAATCTCTCTTATAATGCAGGGCCATGGCTTGTTGCTCGGTTAAGTCACGGTGCTCGCCATTGCTGAAGTTTTGGTAACCAAATTTTTATAGATGTCGACTTTAAATATCATATAGAGACTAGATATTTGGTTAACGACTTGAGTAAAAGAAATTGTTTTCAAGTTACGAGAGGTGAGTTCTTAACGATCTAGGAGATATTTGGTTAACAACTTCTGACCTATTTGGTTCATTTCGTAAAGGTTAGTACCTAGTATAAATCGTCGGAGTTGATTTTTCTCGGTGGGAATAGGGATGAAAAAACATTGGAGTTGCATGAATCAAAAAATGAATCGGGGCTAAGAGGAGTTGAATAAGGTGTATCTCTAACTCTATTTTACCTCGTTCTCATTGTTTATCTAAAATTATAATTTCATTAATCCTATGAATACATGCTATACTTATAACCTTAGTCTAAAGCCTACTTTCTTACTATAGATTCATTTAACAATCATATATATATATATATATATATATATATATTCATTTTAATTGATAATTATTAATTTAAGGTTCAAAATATTTAATGGTCAGAGCTTCAATTAATGAACTTACTAGTTTAGGGTTGTATGGACTCAACTCATATTAATGAGAGATATAAATTGTTTTTTCTAATTAAATATTTTGACATAAATTTAAATGGACCTATCTTACAATTTTACCCTTGAACTACATTTAATTTTTTAAACTAACTTTGAAATAATATAAAATATATATATAGTTCACGTTTGGTTGGTATCTATTTGATTTAAACAATTAAGCATTTTTTTAAAATGCAGTTCTATTAAATATAAATTAGAAAATTTTTATTTAGTTTTGTATTAATAGATTGAATTAATTTTTAGAACTTTCAAATATATCATATAAATATATTTTAAGTTTTTTAAAATTTAAAAAATAAAAATACATGCCTAATTTTAAAGGGCAACTAGCATAAGACAAAGACAAAGAAAGTAGTATACCATTTTTAAATTATAAAAATCTTGTTTTTTACAAATTGTCGGGTTGTTATATTTTCAATCCTACATATACATTGCCAAAGTGGCAAAGTCAATTCCTTTAATTATTGTTTTTTCATTTAATCAAAATAGAAATAAAATTTTACAAAAACTAAATATTGTCCTGATTTTAATTGACAAAAAAAAAAAAAAAATAATAATAATAATAATAATAATAATAAAATCATTAAATAGAAAAATAGAAACAGATATTTTTTCCGATATATATATACCCTTATGAGAACTCGCTGAACAACTCTTCTTTTTGCCTGATCGAACCATGTCAACTGCATAGCGGGAATCTCTAAGCTCTGGTAGATCACAGTTTTTCTCGCTCTCTCTCTCTCTTTCTCTCTGTTTCTTTCTGCAAGACAAAGCCACCGGAAGCAATGGCGTCGTCGGCCGCTAGGATTACGTTTCGCGTTGTCATGGTGGTAGTCCTCCTCCTCGTCATTTTCTATGTCGGTCGTCCTCTGTACTGGAAGATTTCCGCCACTGTCCATGACATTCGCCGGAACAAACAGACCGTTAAAGAAGGTGCGTTTAATTTGATGTTAAATTTGTATGTTTATGCTCGCCGGTGATTTGAAATGGAGTTTCAATTCTTTGTGTTGGACCTGCATTTCAGGTTTCTCTCAAATCGTTCTTGAAGCTCAGAAATCGGTGGGATGGTACCACGACGAGTCGGACTCGGGCGTCCATGATGGAGCTGATGGAAAGAAGGCTGGATCGGTTGCTGCTCGGAGGCTGCTTCATCAGGTTTCGTGAAAATCTCAGTTATTTGAATTGTGATTAGTCCTGAGAATTGAATGGTTTCATATGCATTAGTAAAGATAAATCAACGGATCTGGTTTTGTTTTTGTTTTTGTTTTTGTTTTTGTTTTGTCGTAATAAAGTGATATAATGACTGAAGTAGCAACTATTGAATTAATTTAGTTAAATGAAGGTAATGAAGGGTAAAGAAACCGTAATGCTTCAGCGTTCAGCCTTCAGTGTTGACACTATGCATTATTAGTCACTCGGATATTGTGTATAGTGATATTTGTACCTGAGACGTGGTGAACCACTACTTCGTAAAGACTTATTCTTACACAAACAAAAAAGAGGAAGAAGATATAACAAGTTTTTAATCTGGCCTTCCCTCTGAACAGATCCAGATATGTATCTTACATGAGCGACCTTGGCTGATATTGTGAACGAGTATTTATAATTTAAGACAAAAAATATGGTTGAGGTGGAAATGCGTACATAAGATGACAAGAACTGAAGATGGCAGTGGTAGCTTGTGATAGTTTTTGTTACTATGACTTGCTAGTTGGACATTTAGTGCTGATAGAGAAATTCCAAACAAACTCGACTAGTTGAAGTATAATGGAGTAGGCTTCAATAAGCAAATTTTAGAAAATGACATATCTTTGGAACTGTCTAGATAGAACAGAAGACTTTGTGGCACTGTAGTTGACCATAGAAAGAAACCCATTCTGCCCTACTGTCTTGTAATCACGCTTAATTGCTGCTACTCACAAGCTCAAGTGCAGCGAACATGACAAATCTCACTTGCAATAAGTTATTGCCCTCGTGCAAATAATTTATTTTTTCCTGTTATTTATTTTGTGGTAATTCCTTAGTATGAAATAAGTGGTTACCTCTGTCCCAAGTCTTTGAATGTAACTTGTATACCTTCCTCATCTCATCCTTGTAAACATGAGAAGGGAGAGAAGGAAGGATTGTTGCAGAATATTTGAGCATATTGATATGATAATCGTGTCTACAAACTTCTAAGTTTGATGTAACATAGTGTTTTCTAGGAAGTTTCACATTGAAATTCATTGTACTAAGTCTAGACACTTTTCCCCAATCAAGGTACAAGGAAACCTCTGATCCAAGACTTGACGCATTATATGATCCTTGTAGTTAATCAACCCTGTAGCTATGGTAAAGGGTGACTTGTAAATTTCAGAATTAGGATTTTGAATGAGTGAACTAGCTATAATATCTTGGCTTCTAGGGGAAATAGAAGCATTTTGACAATCCTTAGCTCTCTGGAGTCTGAATTGGTTGAGTTGAACAGCTCAAAATCTTTGCATTCTATTGTTCCCCTCCAAGATAACCTAATCTTACAAATCTTCATGCTAGCTGAAAAATATGGACTGCCACTAGAATATGATAAATTTCCAAATTCCACCTTGATATTAAACATAAGAATATCACACATATAATTGTCTCCGTCCCACTCTACATCGAAAAAACCAGAGGAGACTCTAAACTATTAGCAGTTCCTGCAGTTCATCTAAATATTAACCCAAAATAAGCTTAAATGGGATAACATACATCATGAATTGTCAACTACATAGTTCCTCGTTTTATGACAACTTGGAACGAATTATGTTGATCAGTATTGCTGGGGAAAACAAAATTAAACCAAATATAGAATAGCAAACTTGCTTGATGTTACAATCTGCTACTTCAAACATCACCTTCCTTTTCCAACCTTCTGAAAGCTTTTGCTTCTTCTGTCACAAAGTGGTGCATTCTCATCTCGAGGCTTCTCCCTTTCTTTACACTTTGCGTGTGAAAAATTGTTTATATTAATTTTCTTATTGTTCATGTATGGAAAATAGAGATAAATGTGGAGATTTCAGTGGCAGGACTTCCATTACCTCATCTTAGAAAACTTATTGCCAACTTCTGAATGTTTGTATGTATCTGAGTATACCATTATGTTTCGTTTAACTCATGTTTTTATGATTTCTATGTTAGATTAGGACAAGTGGTAGGGGGAAAAAGAACCATTTAAAAAAGTGTGCAAGAAATATTTCTTTGAAATCCTGGCTATGAGCTATTTATAGAAGTCCATTGACAATTCTTAAATTTCCACGTAAATCATTAAGTATTTCTGACACCGAGTTGCCTTATGACAATTCTTTACAAATATCCATGCGGAATAGCTGCACTCAGACACAACTGGTAGAGCTTTTTCTTACCTTTAAAACCAACATGAAAAGAAGAGTCCTCAAATATTTAAAATCACATGCCAAGACAAGTCTTGTTCACAATGTGGAATTCCATTGGAATCTTTAAATACAACCATTTTATAACATTGACATTACCCAGGAAAGTGGCATGGTTTAGAAAATACTTCCTCAGCAGTAAACATTCACACAGGTCTCATCAAATAGAAGAACAGTAATTTCGCAAGGACCTCCGAGAAAACAAAAAGAAAAATAACATTCCCGTCAACTCTAATAACAAGTACTCCAGAAGTATTCTCTAGCCTTTTGTGGATATCAGCAGACTTAGAATAGCAATTCTTTTGTAGGGATTGACCCACCAGCAGCCACAATTTGTTGCTCCATCTGCAATTAACAGATAAAACCTTTAGAAATTAAGAAGGATCTGCTAGCTTTTAAAACAGCAGTCTTATGTACTGACCCTGAATAGATTCTCAAACTTGTTTTTCACCAGGCAGGTCTCTTGCTTTAGTTGTTGCAGATATCTCAGGCACCTGCACCGAACCCAAAAATTCCCTTGTGTTTATAAGCTAATTTCATCCAATATTGCTCATATGTTGTAGGAGCTTTAATAGGAAAAACTTCTGATTTTGTTTAATAATAATACATAAATACCCTTTTTTGATAACTCGGGCCAAAGACGATAAAGAAAAGGTTCAATAATAGTGAAGTATTTCATGGTAAAAAAATTGAGACCTCAAAAAATTTGGGACTGAAAGGAAAAATAGATAAAATTCAAGCACAAAAAAATCGTACTTGAATCTAAGCATCATAACAACCCAGCTTTAGCCTTCAAAAGATAAGAGCTCACTCACCCTTCAATGTTCTGTTCCTCACAGAAGCTGCGGAGGGTAATACAGACATTTTTAACTCTCTGTGCACCTATGCTGTTAACCACAAAAGTCACAAAATCCTTCATTCAGTTTAGTTTTCGGTGCTCAAATTGATGAGTTTTTTTTTCTTTTCTAGAGAGAATACTATTTAATTCTCTTTTAGAGTTCGAAAATGGCAAGCTGCCAAATGAAAATTTTATTCACTCTATGCTTGATAAATTAGGGGGAAAAAAAAAACTGGCTGTTTGGAAGCTATTTACTCAAACTAGCCTTCTTTTTAGACAAAAAAATTAAGCATAAACATGATTATGTAACAGTTTCCCTCAAATATCATTAACTTTTATAAACAAACCCATAAAACTAGTTTTCGAATTAGGCTCCCAAAAGCTCATACATCATCAACACAAGGATATGAGGGAAAAAACGGGGTATTAGAAGTTTGGTGCCTACCTAGAACTGCTTCCTTTAAGCTGGTGAACATGGCCATCAACCTTTTGAAAATCCACATCAGGCTCTTCTCTGTAAAAAAAGGTTCAGAGAAAAAGGAAAACTCATATCAAAACAAAGATCAAAGAAACCCATAGATAGAAAAAGAAAAAGAAAAAAGCTTTGAGAAGCCTCCTCACAAAGCTCTGGTAAGATCATTGAGAAGCCTTTCAGAATCCTCAAAGAAAAGAGACACCACTTCAACAATGAAATCTGGGTTGCCCTCATCTTGCAGTTTCTGCAGCTCTATAAACTGACTGTCCAAGAAACCCTACTCTCTCCAAACACCAGAAACCAAACAATAAATAAATTAAGAAACTGAAACTACAAAGCAAGAAAACAAACCCCATTAAAGATTTGATCTTAGTTTTTGTTTTTTGTTCATACCTCCATGAATAGCGACTTTGTGTACTCAACCCATTGTCTCTGCATCAATCCCACCTCCATGCTTGCTTGCACTACACGCAAGAAACAAATAAAACTCCGTTATCAAAACTGCAACCCAAAATTGCAGATTTTTGAGGAAAGATTGCTTCAGACAAAGGGTTTTGAATGCCAGAAAAAACCTTTCAAAATTTTTGAGTAATAATGCAAAGCTTTTCCCTTTACTTTTAGGTATTATTATTGGTTGCACTTAAACTAGCAGACCAACCCAACTTTCCGTCTTCTCTGGATTTCTGTGCTGCTGCTGATTATTTGTGTCCCCAACCTCCCCAATTTCCTCTCTCTCTCTCTCGGCCTTTGCGCCATTTATTCATTTATGAGCCTCTCAACTCTGAAAGGAGTCCTTGAGCTCAACATTGTTTTCTCTGTTCTGGTTTATTATAATATTCCTTTTGACTGGTCTTTTTTTTTTTTTCTCTTGAGAAACTATTGGTTGTGGTTAATCGTTTTAGTTATAAGCTTGATGTTTATCTGAAAGAAGACTTGAAAGAAGACTTCATGGTTCTTTTCATCTATTGTCCTTGCACTATTACCATATTCTACTTTAGCCCTTGGTCCTTGTACTCCTAATTATTTCTTATTTCAAACCTTAACTTTGTGTGATGGATAGCAAATGATTTTGTATAATATTTTGAACAGTTTAGAACAGTAGAGATTAAGCGTCCCAGTCTAATAAAAGTTGAAGGACTAGAATTAGATTGAAATCTTGAAATTCAAATGAATAATCTTGTCCTCTCATATAATATTAAGCTAAAGTTATTTGATTTGTTTTAGATGGGTTTGATTAAAAACCAAGGGACAGAAAATTGGACCAAATCCCCTTTTTGCTTTATGAGGTAAAAGAAGACAATGATATGCCTTAGCATTTTGTTCATCGCCCATTTATTTCTTCGAGAGTCACTAACAACGTGGATAGGGAATCCTTATCATTTTTTCAATCTCCACTATATATATATACACACTTTTATCTTTTAATTATTATTTTATTAAAAAAGAAAAGAAAAAACAGAATTCTCGTAATGATGGGTTGGAACCATATTCTCATTGTTGATAGTAAACACGAATATATTCTATTAAGCTTCCAACGAGATAAAACTGTGGTGTGGTCGTGAATTTAACCCAATTGTTGGATATACAATAAATAAACACATTTTAATTAAAAAAATATTTATCAAATTATATAGATTTCATTCTGTAAAAACGCTGATTTAGTAATGATGTTGAAGATTAACAAAACAGTGGTATCAAATTCTTTCTTGAAACTATTATCTTATGTTGATTTCATTTTTAAATCTTAAATTTCCATTTATTGATTTGTATAGTTTAAAACTTCAAAATAACCTATACATAAAAAGACCAAAAAAAGAATGGTAAGATATTATCACATAGGTTATGTTAATATTTTATTTGAAATATTGAATTTAAAATTGAAAAATAACATCTATTTTACAGAACGAGAAAAGTTTACATTTTTATAGAATTTTTTAATAAAAAAATAATAATGGAAGGTTCCATTTTCTATATTAGAAAAATAAAAATTTATTTAAAAAAAAAGTAATGGCATTGTTAATACCATACCACCAAGTCTTACCCCATATTATTAAAATACATGCAATTTGTTCCTAAGGCATCACTTCCACCTAAAGATTAAATAATTAGCGGGTTGACAAATAGCTTTCAAGTACTTTTATCTAAAAAGATAAAAAATAATTATTAAAAAAAAAATTAGCAGTTCATACCATAGTGTTATTGGGTGGGAGAAGGAATCTCCATGGCCACTTAAGAGATGCCTGTTGAGTGAAGCATCTTGTTGTTCATTATCTTGCAGGTTGCTTTATTATTGATATGTCCAACATTTGCATATTCGCACTTTTACTTATTATCACCATGCAGCTTATGGAATCTTTCCTTCTAATAAATGGCCAAAAACGGCTAGTGTAATTGTCCAGATCTACCGTTAGCATATATTGTCCTCTTTGAACTTTCCCTTTCGAGCTTCCCTCAAAGCTTTAACACCCTTATAAATGATGTTTTGTTCTTCTTGGCTATAGCTTTTTCTCACTAATATATTAGATGAAGAATGAAGGATTTGTCAAAAAACTGAGTGAGGATGATTAGATTTTGACCTCTTTCCTTCCTTCGTGTCTTTTCAATTTCAGATGGCTTGAAGTCCTGCTGGGTTCCTTGAATTTTTTGAACTCATCACACAACCATATTTACACAGAGCAAAATATGATGCCAAGAGATGAGGTCAACCAGCAGCTATAAGCCAACTACCACCTATCGGGCTGGGGGGATGGCTTAATAATGTAGTTTTCATATAACGTAAATAAAAAAAAGTATAGCAGTTTTCTAGATTCTAGAGAGATTGATCGATCGCATGTAGATGATCTCATAAGACGATGAAATGATTCATTTTCAATGTCTAGAAAGGTTGAAAAATAATGTTTTCAAACTCGTAAAAAAATATTCCTATTGAGAAGTAAGGGTCCGTGATCACTTCAAAAAGTCCCTCCCTAATTATTTCGTTGCTACATCAGCCAAATTACTGTTTCCTATAATGTAAATAAAGATAAACTATAGCTTTTAAAGCTACAATACTCCTATAAGAAAAATGAACATAATAAAGGTAGTCTTATCAATTGAAAAACGAAAGGAAAAAAGAAAGGGTTATAATTACCAAGGCTACTGCTTTATGCTTCCGTGCTTCAGACTGCAATAAGTGCTTTTCATTCCACAATGACTGAAGTGCCAAACGACACCAAAAAATAAAAGGTTAAGAATTCATGACTGAGTGACTACTTTATCTAAGTCATTATGTATTTCCTTTTAGAAGAAACGGTACCTCACTATGGAAAACAAAGCAAAGTGCCACTCAAAAGGAAAGGAAAGGAAATTTAAACTAACCCAATAATTTAAAAATACCACAATTAATATTCACCAAAGACATGAATTTTATCGACTAAAAGGTATGGAAATTTATGAGTGGAAAGAACATACTGTTGAGATCAACAGGTCCTGCAACTCCTCCGACAGTAGCCAGGAAGCTCTGGAGATCCGACCATGTACTCTGGGTTTTTGGTGCATTCTCCTAAGGCAGCCCATCTCTCACAGCTTTCATTTAGATCCGTACAGTTCCCAACGTTTGCTAAGTTTTTGCTGAAAGAATCTACGTGAATCCACTTTGTTGCTGACCATTTTTCTCCTTCAAGGACAGGGCAACCTCCATGTAGACTTTTGGTATCTGGTATGGCATTTGGTTCAAGGCTAAAGAAGAGAAGGGCATCGCCTTTCTTTGGTTTCACTACACCGTTCCAAATGGGAATAAAATGAGATGAAGCAAATCGATTTCAAGCAAGTTTTATAGTTTGATAAGTACTGAAGAAGTAACAATTCACCTGCGATTCCTTTCCTTGCACACTCTGAGAGATCCTCGTCTGTTTCAGAAGCCCTCCTGTGGGGAGATTTCTGCTCAAAGAGGTTATATATAATAAGGTTAAACAAATTCGTTCCCAGTTTATATGTGACTTTCATACAAATTATTGAGTTTTGTTAAAAGTTGATGAAAAGTTTCACTAATCCAAGATGTTTCATGTGTAATCCAATTCACCAATAGTTTTGTTTGAAACTTAGGGACTTCAAAAATCGAAAATCGAAAATCAAAAATCGAAAAATTCAATTATCAGCAATTGAAATTTTCTACAACAATTAATGCCTCTAAGGTGGATTCTATTGCATCCACAATGAATATAGTTCAATTCATAGACATTTTGATTGAGAAACAGAATCATGGAAAGAGTTTTGAATGGGGTAATGGGATTCGATATCGTCTTCCTGAACAATATATAGGTCTAGAAAATTATAGTTAAGTTCTCTGGATTATCCAACACTGAGTCTTCCCAGAAAAACCCTAGTTAGAGAGTGGGCCTTTTCATCAGAAAGCTGAGTGGTAAGGTTTATTAATATAGAGAGTACTGAGATATAAGAAGAGGTGATCTTCCAATTGAACATGAGGAGTATCATAGAGTTGTTCTAGCTAGTAAAGTAGAAAAAAAATATTTATAAAAAAATATTTCTTACACGGCTAGATGGGGGGTCATAAAAAATGTTTCGTTCTCCTCCCCCAACCAACCAATGTGGGATCTCACAATCCACGCTCCTTCAGGGTCCAACGTCCTCGCTAGCACTCGTTCCCTTCTCCAATCGATGTGGGACCCCCCCAAATCCACTCCCCTTCGGAGCCCAACGTCCTTGCTGGCACACCGCCTTGTGCCCACTCCCTTCGGGACTCAGCCTCTTCGTTGGCACATCGCCTGTGTCCGGCTCTGATACTATTTGTAACAGAAGCCCACCGCTAGCAGATACTTTTTTTTTTGCTTTCCCTTTCAGGCTTTCCCGCAAGGTTTTTAAAACGCGTCTACCCTTTCAGGCTTTCCCGCAAGGTTTTTAAAACGCGTCTACTAAGGAGAGATTTCCACACCCTTATAAAGAATGTTTCGTTCTCCTCTCCAACCGACGTGGGATCTCACACATATCATCATTTTCTGCCCATTTTATTTAACTTAAGAGACTCCATAATCTTTCCCTAAAATAAAGTGAACATAAAGGAGTATAATAGTGTAGTTCTAGCTAGTAAAGTAGTTTCTGAATCAAAATTCAAACGAACCTCTGCCATTGGGAAAACTGTTTCACCGCCTTTGGTCACATCAGAGAGATACATGAGGACAGTAGCCAAACGATGTCCTCCCCAGGCAATATTCACCTTGTCAACAAAGTAATCATAGTGTGATTCATATCTCTGCCCATGCTCATATCTCAATACCTGAATGTCTTCCCCATTTTCTGAAAGTGAAAAATACACCACACATTTAGCAGCAATATTGGGCATGACATCCATCCAATACATATACTCTCCTTGGCTGCCCCATGGTATAAAGACGTCATGAATGTTACTTATAGAAAATCAGCTGTAGTGATTCAAATATATATAATGAATGTTACTTATAGAAAATCAGCTGTAGTGATTCAAATATATATAATGTAACAGCTCAAGTCCACTACAAGCAGATATTGTCCGCTTTGGCCCGTTACATATCGTTGTCATCCTCACAGTTTTAAAACACAAATACTAGGAAGAGGTTTCTACACCCTTATATGGAATGTTTCGCTCTCCTCTCTATCTAACCAATGTGGGAACTCACAATTCAACCCCCTTGGGGAAGCGCCCTCGCTGGCACGCCGCATGACGTCTGGCTCTGATACCATTTGAAACAGCCTAAGCTACCACTAGCAAATATTGTCTGTTTTAGCCTTAACGTATTGTCGTCAGCCTCACAGTTTTAAAATGCGTCTGCTAGGAAAAAGTTTTCACTCTTATAAAAAAGGTTTCGTTCTCCTCCCCAATCGATGTGAGATCTCACATATAACATAACATATCAATGGTGAATTATGTGATTTGATAGTAAACAAATCGTATACCTTTTGGAAGAAAAGTCCACGCAGCAATTTTGTCCTCTATGCCAGAAACAATAGCATCCTGAATATCAAATAAAAATGTAAATGTGCAATACAAACATGGGGTAATAAGAGATCTCAACTGATACTTAATAGAACCAAAGGAAGTATTCATTGCCATACCATAAATTAATTTTAAGACACAAGTGGGAAGAGCACAAAGTCCACTGGTCTAGACAAGATATTAGATCAATTGTAACATAACGGCTCAAGCTTTTGAGACTAGTCCTGATTTAACAAGATAAGAGTGAAGGAGGTTTTAAGTTATTGATTCTGCAAAATTGTTTTCTCCCTAATTTTGTTCTAGGACCTCCTGGATCAAAAACTAACATCTAAAGCTTAAACACAAGAGGCAATGTTTATTAGTGCATCCATGCTATCAGGAACGTTCCTATCGTAATGTGATTGTTTAACCTCTTTGAGAAGGCAATCTATTTCAGTATCGTAACAGCGAAGTTTCTTCCATTTAGTTTAATTCAATAAATAGCTTCAATGGAGTAGTAACGGATGTTTGTTTCCGATCAAAAACAAAAATCAAAAGAGAAAGTCGAGAAAATATCCAGAAAAACTGGAAAATTATTTTGTAGGGAGATCAAAACCAACCTTGCTCTTAGGAATGAACATTCCTGAGCTCGTTCGAACAGTACTGAGCTTGCTCTTTCCTGACTCATTATCAGCAACCTCAGATCTCTTTAGCTCGGATCTCGCCTATCGCAGAAGAAAAACAGAGATTCACATTGACGGTATGTATTCCATATCAAACTCAATGATGAATATCACTAATCTTAACTTACAATAGAAATCAGGTGGTCGCATTCTAGGTCCGTGAGAAAACCTTCATATACAAAAGCTCTGCAATATCAGTGAAATCATCTAATCAAAATTTGGAAAATAGAAGATAACTTAATTACTAATTTAATATCAGCACTAAGTTAAAGGTCACTGAACTCAACCTAGACGACCAAAACTTCGAAGCTAAAACAACCAAGAGTTCAATACTTCCCCGTTCCACAACTTTCTCAGCAAACAAACACAATAGACAAAAAAATAAAAATAAAAAAGAGACATGCATTTGAAATCGACTCTGCTAAAAACCTTGGTTTCCATGAAATCTGCTTCACTTTACTAGGATCTACGGTGGTGCTCGCCGAACGAGCAGACGAACAAATGGATTCTCGAACAACCGATGCAATCGAAATCAAGAAGATGAATAACAGAGAGCGAAATTTGGACATAATTTCGCTTGGATCAAAATAGAAAGAGAGTGAGAGAGAGAGGGAGAACTATGGACGAAAATTTGTTCGAGGTTTCCAAATCCAGGATTTCTCGGAGCTTCCTCTCACACCAGTCAACGTCGAACAGCTAAATAGTAAAGCCAACTGCCCGCTCTTTAAATTTGCAGTTTTTTTTTTTTTTTTTTTTTTTTAATAAATTAAATCTTACGAGTTTGAAAGTCGGCACGTTACGTACAAAATATAAATGATTTGTAGGCTTAGGGAACCTAATTTCAAAACCTGAAAGTAAACGGAGAGATTTATAGTTCATGTGGAACTAAAATTATAGAAAATATTTACTAACAATTTCATTTCAACAATTTAGGAAATTAAATTACAAAAATACCCTTACTCGAAACGTTTCTTTTTCATCATCCTTTTGCAAATCCTTCCACCGAACAAATTAAAGAGAAGCTTCATTCATCTACAATGTATTAGAAAGACGTTTTTTTCTACTTCAACGTATCATTTGAGATGGAGTTGATTCTTATGCTACACCTTCATGTCCTTCACTTGTTTTACCTTAATAAGTATCTACGACTGAAAGATTAAATATTTGAATTCTTCACGTCAGTCCTAAATGTTATTGAACTAAACTAAAACTCCTTCCGAACCAAAAACATGAAAAGAAATTAAAACAAATAATAATAATAACATGAAAAATAAGTAATAGACCTCTCCATATTTATATGTCGAGGTAATATTGTTCAAATTTAAGTTAGTTTAGTACATGGTTATATACCTTTGAAAGTACTTGTGTAAATATAAAAATTTGTACTTATACCCCTATCAGTTAGAAATACAAAGAAGAGAACATAAACATATTGGGGTCATTTGATCGAGTATAAATGCATAAGAATTAGGTATAAATTTATCTAAACATCGCAGGTTCCTAAAACAATCTCCAAATGTCGATCCATGTCAGTTAAATACTTTGTAGAATTATACTCCTCTGCATCCAAAAGCTCTGCAGAGTATGTCCTTCGAAGTTTTGACTTCTGTCGCTTTACACGCTCCAAATTATCTTCATCCCCTTTCAGAATCTGAACAATCTGCATATAAATATACCAAAATACTCTACTTAAATCATTTCATACCGACTTTCAACATCTTAAAGAAACAAAACTTCATCTTCTCTAGGAAACTCGTTGAGTTTAAATGACAAACATGAGCATTAATTGGATATGAGGACAAGGAAAAAGAGAGATTCTTTCACAATGATATGATATTGTCCACTTTGAGCTTCTCATGGATTTTTGCTTTTGATTTCTCCAAAAGGTCTTATTAGTCGACGTGCGACTCCTCTATCACCGATCCTCAACAAATACACCATGTGAATATGTTTTCAAAATTTATGGATGAAAATCTAATTGATACTATTTGTTTAGATAAACTAATAACATGGACTAAGTACTGATCATATAGAATTGAATGTTGAATGTTTGAAAGTATACCAACTAAAATGGAACAATTTTAACCCAAGAGAATTTCATCTTCTCTAGGAAACTTATCCAATTTCAATGTTTAGAAATGAAAGGCAGTCTCTTGCTCAAACGTAGGGATGATAATCTTTGTCCCTGAAGCAAGATTGGAGACAGGACAAGGAAAAAGAGAGGTATCTTTTTAAGTTTTAATAAGATAAAAGACAAGGAAAATGATGAACAATGGGAGGATTGGATTTCGCATTACATCAGTCAGATTGGTTATGGTAATCAGGATTATCTAGATTTGACAGTTTTTCAAAGAGAAAAATCGAATATTTTCTTCAAGAAAAAGTGCATACCTCACTCATTTCTGGCCGTTGAACTGAAGATTGATCTATGCACATTGAAGCTACGGATATCAAACGGTTCATTTGTTGGGTGTCGAATGCGTCAGCAAGTGATGTATCGACAAGCTCCTTGAGATCTTGTTTAAGAAGTATAGGTTTCGCCTGCAAATGGTTTTAAAACAGACCAATGTTAATAAACAAAATTGTCCCAAAGAACTGCAAAAGTGAGGTTGAAGTAGCTGACTTACCCACATCACGAGGCTTTGCTGTGCGCTATCTATTGCTCGTCGTCCCGTAATAAGTTCCAACAACAGTACTCCATAGGCATAGACATCAGTTTTTTCATCAACAATTCCATGCATAAAGAACTCAGGAGGAAGGTACCTATAATCATCAGAAGAGACAGAAAAGGAGGATCTTGGATGAGTAGGTGTAACATCCTAAACCTACCACTCATAGTTTTAAAACACGTTTACTAGGGAGAGGTTTTCACACTCTTATAAGGAATGTTTCGTTCCCCTCTCTAATCGATGTGTGATCTCACAATCCACCCCCTCTCACTGGCACATTGTTTGGTGTCTGGCTCTGATACATTTATAACAACACAAGCCCACCGCTAACAGATAGTCCGTTTTTGCTCGTTACGTATCACCGTCAGTCTCACGGTTTTAAAATGCGTCTACTATGGAAAGGTTTCCACGCCCTTATAAGAAATGTTTCGTTCCCCCCCTCCAACCGATGTGGGATCTCACAATCCACCCCCCTTAGAGGTCCAGTATCCCCGCTGGCACACTGCTCGGTGTCTAGCTCTAGTACCAACATAACAGCACAAGCCTACCACTAACCGATATTGTCCGCTTTTGTCCATTACATATCACCGTCAACCTCACGGTTTTAAAACATGTCTACTAGGGAGAGGTTTCCACGCCCTTATAAAAAATGTTTCATTCCCCTTCCAACCGATGTGAGATATCATGAGTAGGATTTCAAAACTTCTTAATAATAACTTTCAATCAACATACCCGAATGTTCCTTCGAACTTTGACACAGTATGGTGAGTCCATCGATCTGGCAGCCACTTAGCAAGCCCAAAGTCAGAAATCTGGATTCATTTTCAAGCAGTCACCAAACTAAATTTGAAACATATAATGTATCTCTTATGCGAATCAGCAGTATGAAAGATTTTGAAACTGCAGGATATTCAGATATTATGTAAAGATTTTTAATTGATGTAATCACTTTCAATGCTTGAAATTTACGAGCCAATAGAAATGTATGAATGCAAAGCAAAGGAAAATCGTTTATGTTTGCACATTTTCAACTTTCCTGCATGTCTTCTGCAACAATGTATTGTTGGGACTACCGAGGCAACACTCGGAATGCTGTCACAAAGCATATAAGCATACCTGAGGCTCAAAATCATCTCTTAGCAATATATTAGCAGCCTTAATATCTCTGTGGATTATTCTTCTTTGGCAGCCTTCATGAAGATACAAAAGACCTTCAGCAATTCCTAGAGAAATCCTATACCTGGTTGGCCAATCCAGTCTCTCCTTTGATTCTACATTATACCGGCGGAATTAGCAATAAATTAAGCTGTTAGAAATGCAAAAGCTTGACAGTGAAGAACAAACCATAAAGTATGGATGCCAGGCTCCCATGGGGTGATAAATGAAGTATAAGGTGCATTCCCCCGTCAACTCCGTACCCAATTACACTCGCGATATTAGGATGATCAACATGAACTATAATTCCGAGCTCAGACAAGAAGTCTGCAGTCATCTCTTCTGGGTTGCCTCTTGTAAGCCGCTTGATCGCGACTAGTTGCCCATCTTCCAACTGCCCCTTGTAAACTTCAGAATAACCGCCCTCACCAATCAAGTTTTCTTTGGAAAAGAGAAAAAGGGTGTTTATCAGCATACAAACTTATACCATAAAAAGGGAGGGCATCAAAATTTCCATCAACAAGGCTATCTCGGAGTTTAGAAATACACCTTGGCTGAAGTTATTGCTTGCAGCTTGCAGCTCTGAAAGTGTGAAATTCTTCCAAGAAGATCTGAAGTAGCAGAACTCAGTCTCTATGGCAGAGTCCATCACTGGTGATAACGTCGGAAGAATATCCTCTCTAATTCTTTTGCTCTTTTTTCTGGTGAGCTTTGGAACAGCTTTAAGAGGAGGAAAGGTTTGAAATCGCATCTGAGGTCCTTTCATCAGTAAGCGAATGAAACCTTTCCAATGACTCAGATTTCTTGAGTCCGGATGATCTTCCCAGTCGGAAGTGCTGGCCAGGGAAGTAGTTGTTTCACAATCCAAGTTTCTTGAGCAGTCCTCGAGCACCCCTCTTGGAGATGATTCATTTTTTCTTTCAATGTCCAAATCTAATAATCTCAAATCTACCGAGAATAGAACCATAACATTTGTACATTAAATACTTGCAGGAGCTTAGAGATCTTCCTAATTCAAAACACAAATTTCAAAGCAATACGAGCATAGTAGAAACTTAGAGATTATCATACCATGAATGACAATTGTGTCGGAGAATCCACGCACTCTTCTGCTCCCTGAAGTGGGAGTGCTCACTGCTTGATCTGTCTGATCATTTGATTGGTTTTCTGTCTGATCATTTGATTGATTTTCGGTCTGATCATTTGATTGGTTTTCGTCAACAGTGTCGCCTGAATCATTGCTGCTCAACAAATTTCCATGTCAACAAGTAATTGACAGCATAAAAGCTCCAAGGAAAAATCTCCAAAAATAACCCAATATAAAAATGGAGAAGAAATGGCCAACAGGAAATTGCAGAAAGTATAAACCAGACAAGGAAGAATCAACAAAATAAAATAGGCCAACTTTAGGATTATCTTAGTTATAGGTTGAACTCGCCCTATGGGCTACCGTTTCAAATCCCCGCCCAACAATTATAATATTTGTTAGAAATGCAAACAAATATATTTGTTAATTCCAAATCTTCAAACATGTAATAGGGATGTGCAAAATCAAGCCAGTTTCGTTTGTTTTCCATTCTTTATGTCCAAACCGATAGCTAATGGGCTAATGGTTTGGTTAGGCTCATCAATTTTCTTTTATATCCAAACTAAGGCGCAAAGGCCTAAAGAATACCTTCGAAACATCATCCTGCCAAGAACAGGTACCGCTAGAAATTTAAAAGATTAAAAAAAAAATGAAAAAAATCAATGGAACATACACAAATAAATGTGATGCAATCTAAGTAGAGAGGGAAAAAACCTTTCGGACGCTTGAGGTTCAATCGAATCGCACCAAGTATCCTCCGAGTCTTGCTGATCCAGTTTGTCTACAGTTGAAGGTTCCAACACCTTCGATCTTTGCAACGTTCGCTCGGACGCCTTACTACTTCAGAAAACAACCACAACTCGTCAGGGTGAAGCACCTCAATCATTCAATCCTTACTTGTAAACTTGATTAATAATTGTGCTACTATTGAAATCTGGAGAAAACAATCATATTTTCCCCATTGTCTTAAAAACAAATGCAAACCGAACCCTAAAAATAACGATTACGGAATCAAAACCCCGCACGTCACGATCAGCGATCCTACAGAATCAAATGATCTCATACATTTTCACATCTTATTACTTCAGAAAGAAACAACTTGTCAATCTCAACCACACAGTCTTTTCAATCATTACTTCTAAACATGAACTATTGCGCATATGTTGAAATCTGCAAATACCGTGTCGCTCTTTAAAAAACATGCAAACAGAAACCTAGAAATAGCTATTGTGAAATCAAAATTCCAAACGATGCAATCAGCGAACCTACAGAATCAAACGATCTCATACATTTTCACATCGCGAAAGCTGAAAAAGAAAGCAAAAGCAAAAGCAAATAATAAAAACAACAACAACAATAATTACCTGGTGGAAGAAGCCGGAGATTCAGGATCAGAGTCCATGAATCTCCTAAACGGGAAAAAGAAGAAGGAAGCAATTTTGAGCTTCCAAGGAAATCACGGAGGAAGAAACAGAGGAGACTCGGCGACGGCGAGATAGAGAGGAAGAAGAGAGTAAAGGTCCGCATGAATTCAAATCGCCATTTCCAACGTAGCTAGTATTCTTGATTGATCTCCGAAATTTGGTGCTCCATACTCGGATTTAAATTTGCATATTCGCTCAAGTTGTACGTCATTCTGTAATGAACAACGGCGACCATTTGAGGAGTTGTAATTTTCCCGGGAAAATCTGTTCTTGTCTTTTGAGTTTTTGACACGTGGCATTTCAAATTCCCCTGTTTTGTTTGTGCCAAATCTCAGCCTTCCATCTCTTTTGCATAAATGACAGCTAACGGATTTTTCTATATTTAAAAAAAAAACTAAATTATGCAAAATAACCGTTTCTCAAGCTATAATAGTATTTTAAAGCTATAATAACCGTGAATCTCATTGTAATAATATTTTTAATTTAGAAAAAAAAAATCATTTAAAATATTGCAAAAATTTACGTAAGCTTTCCTCTTTATAATTAAGTTTCTATTTTAATTTTTAAATTCGCTTTTATTTTATCTATATATATATATATATATATATAATGCGTATTCATTAAGAGCCAACTATTTTCGTAAAAAGTCAAAACATAGGACCATTCATGTAATTTTTGAAACTTTAATGACTAAATAGAAATTATAGGAAAATAAATATTGGTTAATAATATTTTTTTACCCAAATTTATATTAATGGTTAATGATTAATGAAAGAGTAACATTTTTTTTTTAAGTAGAGTTTAATATAATGTATTAAAAAAAGTTTTAAACAATTTTCTTTCTTGGAACTCAATAACCATTAATTATACACATTAATGCACATCCCATGATACACCAAAAGTCGTGTTTCATTCAAAGCCTTTCTTAAAGAAGTGGAAAAACCTACCAGAAATTTGCTTCTTTCTCCTAAACAACATCCATCAATCTCAATCATATAAATTATTTTTGAAAAAAATTGTAACAGCTCAAGCCCACTGCTAGCAGATGTTGTTCGTTTTGATCCGTTACGAATTTCGTCAGTTTCACGATTTTAAAACGCCTCTGCTAGAGAGAGGTTTCCACACTCGTATAAAGAATGTTTCATTCCCCCTCTCCAACCGATGCGGGGTCTTACATTAATAAATAAATAAACTGGCAGATCATACGCATAACTTATAAAAACAATAACACGTTTACATGAGTAGACTTTTGAATACAGCAAAGTCGTCTGATTTAGTCCTAATAAATATCATTCCATTTATTATCATAACTAAGGCCTCTAGATTAATAATGTTAAGTTCGAAATTTTATTTCATGGAAATCAAAATGAATATATGTAATACATACAATAAATAGAAGTTGATAGGTGCAGACAATGCTTATAAACTCTACATACACTACATCCAAAGCATTTTCAGTGCACATTACGAGTAATCAACCCTTCAAATATGGTAAAAAGATCCTTGTTATCCGGGCCAAATATCTCATCAGCCTTCCGAAGCGTCTCCTGAAGTATGCAACGATGATCCATAAATATTTAACCATGCACTGGATCGTGGGCGTGGGCGTGTGCGTGTGCGTGTGCGTGTGCTTGTGGGCATGTGTGAGGAGTGATAGAGAATGAGATAGAGGAGAATACCTCTTTTGTTTGCTTATGGGCATTCAGCTCCTTGACATTGTTTAAGAATGCACTGAACTGCTCATAGGACAATCGGCTCCTACAAGAGAGGTTAAAATTAGAAACTCTCATAAATCATAATGACCAAATGCAAAATCTGCAAGCACAAATATACGAAATAGAAAAAGGAAAATGATGGCCGAAAACACTCGGTGTAGAGTGCACTAACTGATCCTGCTGGGTTGAACAAGTTAAAGTATCATTTTGATTCACATACTTCAAAATTCGTTCTAGGTTAGTCAATGTCCAATTTATTTCCTAAACTTTCGATTGATCTTATAATTATTCCTCATCATCAGTTCATGTGAGTCTTCCTCTAGGAATTTGAGAAACATATCTATATTATGCATAAATGTTTTTTTTTTAACTTCAAACTTGTTTTAAAATTTATTGAAAGTATAGAGATTTGGAAATATAGAGACTGGAATAAGTTCCATAATATAGAGACCAAAATGGTATTTTAACTAATCATTAAAGATAAGCTAAACAAGTGACACCGAAGAAGCATGAACATTTTAGTGTGGCTAGCTTGTTTGATCACTTGGACACTCCGACATTTGTTGGACACATATTGGACACTTGTTAGCACAATAAATATGTAGACAGTAGTTGTACAAAGCCAATATAGATCTAACATTTGTTAAACACCTATCGAATACTAAATATGCACATAACAAAAAGAATTGAAAGTGAAGAATATAAAATTCATTTTTAAGTGTATAAATGCATAAACATATGAACTTACATTTTTTAAAACATATATTTTAGTAATTATGTCCTAGATTTTTAAAAAGTGGCGTGCACGGTGTTCGTGTAGTCGTATCTGTATCCATATCCAGGCTCTTAAGGTGCCGTTAACTTTCTAAAAGTACTTGATGTTCAAACTCTATGCATCTACCAGATCTTACCTCACTTGGCGGAAGAATTCCTTTCCATCGACCCGAGTTCGTCCTGAAAACAATTGATAAAGATGATTAAAAATGTCAGTTACATTATTCAAATGCAATGACAATCTATATGTCTTGGTGGGTATACAATCACGGAAGGTATACTACTCGTCTCACATTTGGTAGTCATGGAAATATTATACATCATATTTATACTGTTCATTAATTGGTACAATCATCAATGCATCTGATACACAGTAATCACACAGTGCAAACCCTCATTAACATAATATACATAATCCAGTAGGATCATTGAAATGAAATTTAAGCATGTGACCTTATTTTCAGCACAAGAGCAAAGCCATAATTTTTTTTTTCAAGTTTACTGTACTTGAGAAAATAATATAGTTTCAAGAATCTTAACAAAAATAAGGTAGCATTACTTGACGACAAGAAGATTAATCAAATAGACTACATGCGTAAATTGTTTATTTAGTAACTATTTACCAAATTAGTCATTCTAAAAAACAATTTTCTTCGTCGAATTATTTTGAAACGAACTCCTTTTTGTGATTTTTTTAAAAAATCACTTCAAATGTGTAGAAGGGACCTGCAAAACTATCAGATAAGAGGGATAAGAAAAGAAAAACAACATTGCCCAACAGGAATTGCACTACTATAACCAACCAGAGTTCTTTCAAATTCGCATTTGGAAAGTACACCCAAAAATTCCTGAAGATCTCTAAAGTGCGCAACCAACATAATTCTAAACTACAAATTTGCAAGAAGAGAGTTTTAGGAGCAAACCAGTATGAGCCCCTGCATGAGGGCTTGAAACTGAACTGTGATTGCTGGAGACAGAAGAATACATTGAGGTTCTATCAAACATCCCCCTTGAAACAGAGAATGACATTGAATGTCGCTTTGGGGAAACAGGTTTAGATGTTCTGGTAGGGGACACAGATGCAGAAGAAATAGGGGGAGAACCGGGAGGTGTCAGACGAGGTGTGCTAGTCTGTGAGGCTAACAGAAGGCTGTTTGATACACGAGGTCTTGAAGCTGCCACTGCAGCATAGGAATAAAGAAAAGTGAAAAACATAACCAGAACTAAGAGACTTAAATCAGTTTCAAACTTTTTTGTGTTAATTAACATGATTAAACGTAAGCCTGCCCCCCTTGGTATTTGTAATTTTATACATCAGCAATTTGCTGCAGTTATCAGTTCGTTTCATGTATTACATAAAGGAAAGAATATCATAACATGTAGAAATCTTACCATCTGCCTCAGGCTCATCTTTTACAGGGTTCACTGTTTCAGAAGCGTTGCTCTGGATTGATGAGTATTTAGATGGTGGCAATGATAGATCATCTTCTAAAACAAAAAGAAAATGTACAAGTCAGAACCGAAGGCATAGATTAGGGAAATTGCGAGAGCCCGTACAAAAGTAACCAATTTGATTATCATATAAAATCATTTATGTGCTTTACAATTACAAGTAAGCCATGAAAAATCAATCTATGAACAACGATAATGTGCAAACACAGAAACTGACATTAAGTAACTTATAGTACCTCCAACCTGCGGAGCAGAAGGCAAACTTTCCTGACTCTCTAGTTTAACGACAGCCTCTGAACTTCCTGTCTGTAGTAGCACAAAGAGGGTTGATATAAAAAAAATGTTGACTTCAGCATGCTTCTCAAAAACTATTTATCGTATGTTTTATGAGTATGTTTATAAATGAGTGTTTATGTTTTACCAACTGTTGCTTTCCATTTAAAATTTTCTATCAATAGTGATGATCCGTAACTCGACGAGCTCGAAAAGCAAGTCATTAAAGTTGGAATCAGAATTAGGATGTTGATGGATATAGAACAAAGGGTCAATCAAAGAAGCACGGATATTATTGTTGGTTAACGTGTCCCAGTCCAATGTGTATTGAAAACTTGTTAGGCTATGGCAGTTAGAGCTTTGATTTGGAACTTGAAGTTGGAAACTAACCGTCATCTCTTTGAGGATAAGGCCTCCTCTTCCGTTTATTCTTTTTTAGTAATACACAATCGCTAGCTTCTTGATGGTGCACAAAGAACAGAAAATTCTTTTGTGATTACAGCTTATCCAGGATCCCATTAAATTGGAAAGCTCTTTTTATGGGTTTTTTGCTGGGAATGAGGGTTCCTCTTCCCTTGCGTTTAGGCTGTACTTTTTGGGCCTCGTACATAATTTGAGAGTGAAATACATCAAACTCATTTTTAATGGATGGAAATGCATAAGCTTATTGACTTTTAATTTTCTTCGAATAAAAAATCTGAATATGTTTTTACGAAGTTATGTTTATAAACGAGTCCTTGTCGTGTCTTGTCTCCTAGATTATGAAAAAATGATATATCATCGCGTGTCTGATGTATCTATATCTATATGTATCTCGTGTCTATCATATGCTTCTTAGGTACCAATATTGCAATTTAGGAATTGGAGAAAGAAAACTTACGGAGCTCTCTTCCTCATGTAGGGACTGCATTAGCGTCTTTCGGAAGACTTCCAACTGCAAACAATGCAAGAGAGTCGAACCTCTTATTTCAGAGAAGATAACAAATTTTA